CCCCCTTTAATAAACAAGAGCAACTTCATATTGTCCTTCTTTAGCCACACCACTGTGGAGCTACAGAGTAGCAGGAATTGTTCATATCAATATATGTGTTAAAATTTAGTGTTTTACACACCTTCCTTCCCAATTCCACAGGCAACTTTCACCGTGGAATATGGTTCTCATCAAATCTATAATTGAAGTGAGTCTTTTTTTCTTTTTTGTTTTTTTTTTTCTGCTTCATCTTTGACAATCCAGTGTATGCCAAAAAGCACAACTCCACGCGCGCCCTGACTTACCCATATTCATGACCTGAGATGGAAGCATCTGCCTTGGGCCAGGCTGGTTGCTGGGTCTCAAGGGGATGCTGGCTGTGGGGTTGCGGATCATGCCTGCTTGCACCGGCCTGTTCATGGCACTAGCTGTGGGCGCGCAGGTCATCCTCACGGCAGGAGCCTGGCTTCCCCAATCTCCAGACGTCATGGCAGGCCGAGGGGCATTGCCACCGATCATTCCTGCACAAAAGCCAAACAGACTTGGGTGCCAGCACATGATTCAGAACAGCTTTAGCATTACAACTGCCTGATAAGCTCCATTTTTAGCGACGAAAATGCAGTAGTTTCACTCAGAGAACATTGTACCACAACTGCCCGTCCAGATGTGCAAAGCTACAGAACGATGCCTTACGCTGCTTAGTCAAGGGACTGGAGATTATTATACATTTTACATGAGGAAGATCCTTTTATCATTTCCGAAACGCTGTTCAGAGTAAGTGTTCCCACATGTAGTCTGCAACAGGTGCCGAGGGTGTGTGGATAGCCCTAACTTCCTTCCTCAGGAAATGAATCACGTTTGCTGATGTGTGTGTCAGTGCTTTACTTTCCAAGCGCTAAGTGAGAATGAAGACTTGAGTAACAACATGTTATCGCTACACACACTTACAAATTAGAAGGATTAAATTTAAATTCGCATTCTACAAACATCTTTTGGCAAGTCCTTTCATTCAGAACCTAGAGCCTTCTTAGCTTCAAGGCTCACCCAGATAATTTCACACCAATATACAGTGCAGGGAAATTACTCACAGGAACTTTCCGATAGATGCTGAAGTTCATTACCGTTATTTTAGGGGAAGTCCTCCTACATCTACTGTAAACAACTGATACAGTTTATTTACACTTGGAATATATAGAGTACTATACTCTGACAGTAGCCAAAAAAACCCAACCAAACCCCAACACAAAAACCCCCAAAACCCAAAGACGTGCATTCATAGTGTTTACGCGTTTCAATTTTATAGAGTCAAGAGAGCAGATAAAACACTGATTTCAGATTGGACTACTGCTCTCTCCAGTTGCATTCTGCAACATCCTTAAATGAATACTAAAAGCCACGCAAATAATTATTCCTCGTCAGTTCAATTATTTGGTGATATATAACCAAGGAGAAAAACCCTCTGAAGAGAGTAATTGTTTCAGCTGCGGTATAAAATTTGCTTCAGTGTTACATCCTCAGGTTTGTTCTATTTGTGTACATATTCTATCAGCTGAAATATGTGGTGTTCTAGAGCAAATGGCAGGAACACAGATAATACTCTCTAACTTGTATACATAAGACGAATAACATCCTCTAACATGTATACAGAACATGAACGTAATAGGACACTTGAAAGACTACAAGCTGACCTCTGAACTGCTTAAATAGGATATCTGAGTGTCTGGCAGCACGTCTTTTGTAATACTGATGCAAACTAAATATAAAATTTTGACAGTGAATATAGCCAGCTGAAAGGACTTACAATACCCATGTAGTTACTCAGAGTTCTTAGTGGTTGTTGCACACTTGGACAATCTCAGACTATGTGCTAGTTGAAATAAGCCAATCAGCCAGACTTTCCTTGTGAAACCCCCTATGGTATCTTTGTACAATATTAGGGCAACATGAAGAAATCAATGCACCACATATTAGGCACAATCCATGACAAGAGGCAACAGCACTGCAACATCAGATGGTTCCCCAAAAGTTTATGTTTCAGAAAATGATGAAAACATTAGCATTTCTTTAATTTAAAATGAGAACTAAGGCTAATAAATAAAGGATAACCGAGGGCAAAACCAAGGTCTGTAGAGATACACATCATAAGGGCAACAGTATTGCTCATAGTTTTGTTTTGAAAGAACTACCTCCACAGAGAAGTGGTTCATTTATTTGCTTTTTTTGGGGCAGAAAGATTGGATCTTTACCAATTTAAGCCTCAGCTGAATCTTGAACATTGATGTGAACAGACTCTAACTGCCAATACAATGAGTTCATCTAGAAGTTTTCAGGTAGGTGAAAAGCAGTGCAAAAAGAGCAGGACTAAAAATATGCAGAAACAGAAGTTCAAAATAAATATGCCAATACGTAACAGCCCATGAAACCTGATTTTTTCCAGTCTTTTTGGAAAGTACTTATAACCCTTACTTGTAATAACGCCAACATTGTTACACATGCTGTTACTCAGGTATATTTAAAAAACATGGAAAGTCATCTTACCTGTGCTACTGTTGCCTAAAGTTCCTTGACTTCCTATCATCCCTTCATTCCTGCCCATCAGTCCTGGCTGAGGTATCACTGAATAGGGGCTACTCGTTCTTATGGATGGGAAAGTTCCTGCACCTGTTGGGTTCTGCAGTGTGATGTCAAGTGGTAAATTCTGGTTTGGTAATAACCTGCCCAGTTGCCCTGCTCGTGGGTTATTAAAAGCTAGACAGGAGGAGCAAAGAAAAAAGCAAAGTTACAAGAATGGAAACTTTACTTGTACACACTTTAAGCACTTGGGCTGAGCTATTTAATGCTGCATAATTTACCCACTCCATATCTGTCTGAGAAACATCCTTTCTTGACATTTTTATGTAAATTTCAAAATGGAACATTCTGACACTAAAACAGATATGACATATATTTTTAAAACTTTAAACTGACAGAAGAGCCACTACAGCAAAATATACCACTATGTGATGTGCATACTACTGCCAATTAATCTTATACCTAGTAGGACTGTAATTGCATGCAGATGTCATCCTGAGGCAGATTGTTAGGAATTATCTCAGTTTTGAAAGTTTTCCAGCATAAGCTGTGCCCCTGAAGAAGTCACCAAAATTAAGGACAGATTTAGTCTATATCAGATCCTGTAGCCCCATTTCTACATCTCCCTCTTAAATTTTTTTTACATTCTTTGGTCATTAATAAAACCAAATATTTCCATGATTTAGCAACAAGAAGTGGTCCAGAATAAGAGCTGTGCCACCATAACATTCCAGTAAACAGAACCATGCTCGATGGTTACTGTCACCTTTATATAACTATTTTCCTCTGTTGAGGTGTTTCGTGCTCTTAAAATCAGCCTCTGCAAAGAAAACTGCAGACTGTCTCAGAAAAGTGAACTTCAGACCTTGACCAGCAAGCATCTGGCTCAGCTGGTGTTTGGGCAATGTTCCAATGCATGAAAGCATCCCCTATGTGCATAACTAGTTCTCAAACATGAATCAAACACTGACCTTGTGCCTATGATTCCATTTCCAATCATACCAACAAAATATGTACAAATAAACTAACGGTTTTTGTGAAATCATTATTTGCAGTACTTTCTGATAGCTTCCCCTAGGAGAGTCTCTGATATAACGGCATCCTTAAAGCAACTTCTGCATTTTTATATTCACCACATTATAAAGAAGTTAAAAAACTTCTTTTTTATTTTAGATCAAAGTAGTGATACTTTTCATTTATTTTTTAAATCTAAGTTCTCTGCCGGGTGAATTTGCTTATATGCGTGTATAGGAAATACGTAACATCACATCCACCTAATTCCTAACTGTGAGATCAAAATTTTGTCTTGACTGTCTGTTCAAACAAGCAAACAAAACTTACTTAGACAAAAATGACCTTCCCAAGCTTAGGGGCACCATAAAGTCTAAGGATTGAACAAAAACCCAACTTCAGTGACAGTTTCAGAATAGTTTGCCCCAGAAGTTTGAAAAGTCACATAAATGATTAAGTTATCATATGGGTAGCTTTGCCAGCACCCACTGATCCTACAAGAAGGAAAGCTGGAAATGCAGCACAAAATAACAACACAGTTGATGAGATGTGACGGTGCTCAGATCACATATTCTACTCTTGGTCAGGATGGGACTGAAGGAGGCTCCCTGCCCCCCACGCAACAAACTCCAGCAATTTGGCAAATCTAGCAGTTTTCAAACAGATAAAAATATTTTAAGTATTTAATGTAAAACCTGTAAAATGAAAGCTGGTTATTTCTTCAGAAAAAAAATTTTTAAAACCCCAGACATTTTGGAATTGTGAATGATTTGACATTCATTCTACACGGCTTTTCTGGGAACATATGAGAAGTCACTCACTATTTCTGTGCACCTGTTTCTGTATGCTCTTCTACTGAAAACAAGGCAGAAGTTCCCTAGGGGAATCAGGCACAGACACAAGACTGAGCTGGGGGCAAAAGTTTTAGGGTTTTAATTTACATGGGAAACAGGATGCTGCTTTTACAGAACTGCTACTAACCACCAAGACACTCTCATTTACAATCATACTGTTACTGTACTGCCAGTAGCTTTGAAAGCAGATTTAAAGCCAGGTTAACTCTGGAAAGCCAAAAGGCTACAGTGGAAGGAACCAGCAGAACTTGCTTCAGAAAGAATACACTAAAGATTTCAGAAGCACAGAGATTTCCTTCTGACTTATGTGCTGCTGCTATTAGTACCCCCATACTTACAAAAATGAGTACATTAAATCCAAGCATCTTTCTCTGAGCAACACTGATAACAAATGATAATGTAAGGATCTATAGTGGTTTTAATATGAATTTAAGCATTTATATTTATTATTAATATGAATGTGCATTTTAACATTTCTAAGTAATAATTTGAGTTAATTTGAAAGTGGCACAGTGTTATTTTAATATCATCAGAATGGCTAAAAATGTTATCTAAGCCCTACATTTTATTAAAAAAACCACCAGTGTACATTTAAAGAAGTAAATAGGTGCTGCCATCCTAGCCAATGGAAGAAAAAAGATGAAGCAGTGGCTTTTTATGCTATTTTTTTCAGCATTCATAGCTGATGAGACTCCTGTCTTGCCCACTTTCCATTATTCTATGGTGGTAGACCAACATTTCAACGCTGATTTGCAACTTAATTAATAAAGTTAAGGAACACTGTCAGCTGGAGGTGACTCAATTAGAAGCCACAATTTCAAATTAAACTTGGGCATTCCTCTTAATCATATGTCTTTCTGTTAATCTTGTGGTTTTAGAAGACGACTCCCCTTCACACTTAGGAAAGCCTATCTCGTGCCTTCTATTGAAAGAGCCGCTGGAAAGGGGCGACCTGCATCAGAACAAAATGCGTATGCTCTCCACGCCAAAGCCCCCGCAACAGCAGCATCACCTATAACCACAGCAGGGGACGTTTCATTTATTCATTTCATTCAGTTCTTAAGGGTCCCCCTTAAAACTCCTCAGAGGGCATGGACTTCCAGGGTGCTGAGTGAATTAGATATAACCTCCTCACGTCTCTCGAAATGGGACGACCGCAGATGGCGCTATGTCATCACGCAAGACCACGCCAGGACGAGGAGCTGCCCGGTTCCTCCCCAGCTGACCCAGGGGGTCTATGACCGCCGCTTTGGGAGTTCGCAAGTTTTTTGCCTACACGCGCGCGGAAAGCGGACTCACTGCTCTGTGAAATCCTCATTGCTGGTTTCTGGGTGGCCACAGCCGCGCCGGGGCTGCTGTCACTGGTGAGCTGCATGAGGTCATTGATGATGGCTTGCTTGTCGACTGAGCCTGCTGGCGCGCCTGGGCGGCTATCTGGGAAAAGCTGCGGTAACTGGCTGTTCTGCAGGTCATCCAGAATCTCCTCCAAGTTATCCAATTCACTGCCTGGCTGCAATAAAAAACCCACAAACTCACAGTACACGTCGCTGCTCGCCTGCTGTTGGCGTCCTGCTCACGCCGAGCCAGGCAGCCCGCAAGCGTTACGCCTGCACCGGCTTTGGATGCTTCCTGCAAGAAACCCGACGTGGAGGAAGCTCACAAAGCTGTTGAAAAGGGACTGTGCAGGCTTCCCAGGGCTCGTCTGCCTTGCATTTGGGGACGCCGGTGTGGCACTGGCACCCCTTCAAAACCCCAGCATCGGGACGTACAGATAGCCACATGATCTGTACCTCGGGAAAACGGGAAATTCTGCCTGTGTGCTCTGTGAGCGGTGCAGACAGCCGGGATAATTTGGCAGGGGAAGAGATCCAACAGTGATGAGGATGGGGTTTTATGTAGGTATAACCAATATTCCTTTCAGTACAGTCATATTTCTAGTCTCTTTATGACTTGATTAGAAGCATACGATGGAGAAGTTGCTTCATGGCTAAAACAATTCCCCATACGCATTTCCTTCGTAACATTCAAAACCTTAACAATGAATAACTCTATATAAGTTAACTGGCAAGAAATACACATTTCGATGAAGTTCTATAAATTAAAACCTGTCAACTAGTTACTAGATTTAGGAATTTATTTTGCTCACAACTTGTGAAAATAACTTCTCTACAGTAAGAAAAAAAAGAGAAATCTCGTTACATTCAATTCAGTAGAAAGTTGCCATGAAATAAAGATGGGAAAAAAATAAGTTCATCCTAAACTAACATAAATTACTGACTGATCTGCATGTTTTTCTTAAAAATGTTGATTTTCACCAGTATTTTTTTTTGGTCTATAAACCCTCAGAATTAAAATCTTTTTCTGACTGAAATTTGGAAATCATTACAAGTATATTCTCCACTCCTAAACTTTTACATAGGGTAAAACTCTTTTGGGTAATAATTACCAATAGGGAATGCAGTCTCAGTTACCACCAAGTTGCACAGGAAACATTTCATGACAGTATTTATAACAAAAACCTACTCAAAATCGGCGCCTTCATTAGGAAATGTGCAATGACGGAAGAAAGGCAGAGAGTGAGCAGCCAGCCGTGAAGGATGGGGAACCGAGAAATAACACCACAAACATGCACACAACTGAAATACAATTCTCTCTGTTCTTTTTTGTGCTACTGGCACATTGTGAACTTGTTACTTAGCGAGTGCAAGCTTACGCTGCAGATCACAGGATAATGTAGAAATACCTGAGATGGCTTTAAACTACCTACTGAGGCTCTCACAGCCTAGCTAGGAAACACTGCACGTTAGTCCGTACTAAACTCCTGCTGCCACAGCTAACCTGCTCCTGGGAAGCCCAGCTGGTTTATTCAAAGGTAGCTAAGATGCCTCGAGGTTATCTCTCTACATACTCTTTTTGGATGACTGGCTGCAGATAAACACGGTATTGCTCTTTACTCCTTCCACATCACCTCCTAGTCTTATAGATCGCAATACATGGTGCCAGAGGAAAGAGTTTACTCCATTAAAAGGCAACACGTACCCACATGGAGGCTGGTGTTACTGGCAAAATGGTAGGAAATCACAGAATCAGAGGACTGGAAGAAATTTAAAGCCTCAAGGCAAAATCAGTGCATGCCATTCCCTACAGAAGTTCATACAGCCTCTTGTTAAAGACATCCAGCGTCAGAAAATCCACAGCTTCCCCAGGGAATTGGTTCAGCACTCTGCCATCCTTACTATTTGAGTTTTTTCCTCAGTGTCAATGCAAAATCTCCCTCACTGAAATTCAGGCCCTTCCTTCCTGACGTATTTTGAATCTGGAGAGCAAATTGTGTTCCCCTTGCTTTTTCTAACCTTTTCTGTATTTGAAAACATGTGCCTTTTTGGGTTTTAAGCTGAAGTTAATAAGCAATCTCAACTTGTTGAATTTTCTTCAGCATATAACCTGTTTTCTAGACCTCTCGTTACTCTTGTTGCTCCTGTGGACTGTCTTCAGTTGATCCACACTTTTGCTGAAGTGCTGTGTCCAGAACAGGACTTAAGATGAAGCCTTACAACTGCTGAGTAAAGCAGAAAATTTACTCTACACATAGTACACTCTGATGGCATATTTCAGAAAAGGCTGTGATTTTTTTTAATTACCTGACGTTACTGACTCTCACTCATCTTGATCCCTATGATCCCTAGACACAGCTCTGAAAAAGTCCTATCTAGCCACTTGTCCCCTCCTTTTTTAAAAAAACCTCTGTGACATTATTCTTGACTAATTATAATAAATAGCATTTGTTCATCCTGAATGTTCTCCTAAGATTTTTCCTCCATATCTGCTGGTTGCAGCTGAATTTGAATTCTGTCCTCCAGTGTATTTGCAGACATTCAGGTGTCACACGGAGCTTTACCAAACATACGCTCTATTCTTTCATTGGGTCATTTGGGTTAACTAAAACACTGAGCAGCTAGCTCTAGGTGCTGCACGACCTCCTGCAGCACCTCCATTTTGACAGTGAATCCTTAAATAACTACTTTGTGTGTAAGGATTTCCAAACAGCTTCCTACCCACTCAGCAGTTTCGTCTTGACCATGCATCTCTAATCTGCTTATGAGAATGCCGTGCGAAAGAGTGCCAAAGAGCTTTACTCAAACCAAGACACATGGCATACGCTACTGCTCTTATGCCAAAAAGCCCACTACCTTCTTTGCAGAAGGAAAACAGGCTTGTCCGACATTACCTGCTCTTGACAAATCCCCCTGCTAACTCGCTGCCTTCCAGGCACTTGCAAGCAGTTGGATGGACACAGCACACCAACAGAAAAGGTAGAGCAAGGAGGAATCAAATGTGATTATAGGAAGCCTAAATCATTGTGCGGAGAGGTGGCAAGCAGATTCAAAAAGGTGCTCTGAGAGACAGTCATGAGCGATGTTTATAGGAGCCGCATTTTGAGCACTGAGAGATCTGGTAGAAGAAGACTGCCTGAGCCAGTAGAGGAGACTGATGTAGAGTATCATAAATTATAGAAGCATGATTCAGTACTCTTTGGGGGAATTAAGACATATGGCCTTCATTAAAGAGATTTGAGACAACAGTGAAGGGAACTTTTACATGTTGCAGGGATTTTTTTGTTTGGTTTTGTGCAGCACTTTCCGTCTTTTTTTCTTCTTTTTTTAACATTCTGGCTACTGCAATTCTTTGTTTAAACACCAGATGTAAAAAAATAACCAAACCCAAAACAAAGCCAGAGAAGAACATATTGATCCAAATGTGTCAGAAAACTGCACTCCCCAAGATGCTTTTAATCCCTCTCAGGAAGTGGCAAAGAAAGGCCAAATACAACAGATGTATTATAACAACACAAATACATAACCTTCCTTTTTTTTGCTTAACATAATCAATACCAAATATTTTATTTTTCATGAGATGAGGGTTCTGAACTGCTGCAAAAGCTCCAAAATAGATTTAGAATTAACACTAAGCTATGATGTTAGCCTAAGTCTTTCCAGACTCACTCTTGAATGACACCATATGCGCAGAAACTAGCATTAAAATATTTACTTGGTTAGTTTTATGGGATTTTGCTTTTATTTATATTCTGTATTTATTTTGTTAATGGTCTAAATTGAACTTTATGTAAATAGAAGGCACACCCTAACCCCCCTGTAAAACAATTATTTGTCATGCATTAAAAAAAAATATGCCTGATAAAGTGCTAAGCATCAGAAGAAAGTTCTTGTGCACATATTTTCACTAAGCAATGCAATTACAACAATCTCTGTAGAACTGGGACACTAAGTGGCCAGAAAACATAAGAACATTTGTGCTTAGAAATATTGTTGCATTTGAAAAAGTACCTACTTTCAAAGTACTCATCACCATCATGTAGAGAAAGGTAGATTAAAGTGTTAACTGCCTACTAAAAGGCAGTAACACCTCAACAAGAAGTTTGGCTTACAAAAGTTTCTATGTCAAAGTCTAGCTTCCATGGATTGTAAAGGACTGGATAAGATCCTAAACTCTCTGGAGATCTCCTTCCACCACAGGCAATGCCCATGGCTTGCACTGAGACTCTGCATTCCAAACTTCGTACATGTACACATTTCCTTTACGACGACGTGTGACAGAGGCATCTGGCCCTTTTTCCTTACAACAGGATGTCTTTTGGTGGGGACACAACTTGAAACTGTATCTGCCTTATATAAACCCCAAGGTAGCTCGTTAGCTCCCTCTGTAGCATGGGCAAAACATTTGACCATAAAAGGTAAACAAAACCAAATCCCTGCTCCAAACTGGCCATAAACTAAAGGATTATAAAAAGAAGGAAAAAGTAAATCAAAAGTGGAATCAATATAGGCTTTTTTTTTTTTTTTTTCCCTTGGTAACTGCATTAAACAAACAATTGGCTAGAAATCCTATTGTATTTTCAGGCTAATCTACTACTAACTTCTGGAAACAGAACTCTAGTTGAAAGACATTCAGAAAATGGAATCCCCATTCTAGGGTTTTGATAGAATTTCAAGAAGGAACCAATGTCCTTCATGAATTTAATGGATTCTGGACATCAAGAAATAGGTTTTTGGAAGATGAGGGGCATGTGTAAGAAAATATTTTAGTATTGGAAGATACCGGTTTCCACATAAAGCAAGAAGACAGCAGAGTTGACAAAAGTGCGTGAGGAACACCTGAACAATTTCTGAGTTTTATGACAAAAAAGTACATGCTTAAGATGATTTCTGGAACAGCACTGGTGCATACTGTGGCATTGCAAAGTCCCTGACAGACAAATAGGCTGTCTATATTGTCTGCTGGCTAAAAAAGAGGAGAGTACACTTATGGAGACAGGGCTTTTACTCTGCGCTACGCCAAGTGCTTTCTCAGACAATAAGCCACTTCAAATTTCTGCATCTTAGTTTCTTCATCTGTAATATGAATATAATAATCCGCACCCAATTTTAGAGAAGAGTTTTGCAGCGCAAAACAATATGGCTAAACAAAATGTTTCCTTAGCAAGGCAATACCTGACCCGGTTCAGTGCACGACGTTTCTCTGATGACCCCCTCCAATTTCACTCTCCTTCCCCCAAGCTGTTAGCCAGTCGTTGTCAGATTTGACCACCTGCTGACCACTACGCGGGCCGCTCCCAACCAGCAGCGTGTGCTGGCAGCAGCCAGAAGCACAACGAGGGGCTTTTTTGAGAGAGAGCACAAGCAGTGGGGCACAGGGAAGGAGGGTGTGGGATGAAGTCCCACCGTGGCAGCTCCACAGTAGCCGGCGGGCCAGCAGGGAAACACAGCCTTACTGCTGAGGGATGCCCTATAAACCAAGTCTGTAGCAAATCAGGACTCGTGTTTCCACTGCCTTCCCTTTTTAATAGTGGAGAACGATACGAGCACTTGTGGTGCTTGATAGCAACAGTCCTACTACTGTTGGTGCTGTAGGAAAAGCTCCGCTGAGTCTCCCCAGCAGGTCTCTTTCATCCTCTCCCCCACAGCTGCCTTAACTGGAATAGCAATCAGACTAATAGAGCTTGATAACCATCATCCCACCAAGGAAGAGAAAAAGGTACGGTGGCACTGGAAATATTCTCTGCCATTTGAGAAAGGCTTCCTGTCAGTTGCTGCTCTTTGCAGAAGTGTATGTTTAAACACACTACCTAGAAGACTGCTATTTTTAGTACAGTGGTGCACTTCAAAGCATTTCCTGCTCAGAAAGTCACACAAAAAGTAAAAGGAGAAAACGTAATGGCTCTGCTGCCTCCCAACACCCCGATGCCCCTTGCAGAGGCCATCCCACTGCTGCTCTGCTGCAGTTTCCAGAGAAACTGCACACTCCAGTGACTAATTACTTTTAAAAATACAACATTCCTCGGGGAGGAGAAGTTTTAAATAAACCTGCAAAATAGGTAACACAAGCACATGGCTAATTTTTACATACGGGAGGAAGAGGGGGGGGAAGGACGCAGGAGGATGGAAGAACTTAGCACAAGAATCTGTGTTCTAGTCTTGTACTAAATAGTTCCAGCTTTGATCTAAATTTAGGCAATGAGCACTTCCTGTGGGAGACCGTCTTCCAAAGCTGAAGAGTTTTTGATGCTACATATTTTCAGTGATTTTATAATTGGGGTAAAGTGGTTATTTGTTTAAAGGCCTGGCCTTCAGCTAGATAAACGCTTACATTATTTTCTATTCCTTACCATTTCCTCTCCTACTCCACATTGGACTTCTCCTGTTTATTCAGCTCCAGGTTTCGCTGCATTTTAAGTAGGTTTTAAAACTCTATTTACAACCAATGGGAGCAACAAAAGCCCTTCTGTCATTATCCAGCAGCTTTCCATCACAGCTGCAGGACTGGCTTCCCCTTACCTCGGTGCTGAGGAAGCCCCAGCACTTCAGCCCTTACCACTTTATCATGACTCCCGCACTGCTTCGTGGTTTTCTGAACAGCCCCAACTCCTGGACCTCCCTGTATCTCCGCTTCCCTCTCTCGTGGGAGACAACCTCCATCTTCAAATTTTAAGAAAAGGCAATACATCCATAGTCCACATACTCCAACCCCCTCAAATCCCTCCCCGACCTCAGAAACACGAAGCCTAAAAATAAAAAAAATGAATAGACTATTCACTTTACAAAGTTCATAATATTGAGGACCTGACTTTCAAATGCTTGAGGTTGGCAATGCTTGTAGACACTGAAGTCTCTTTCTTTAAAGTCAGTCTTATAGTTACATGTTTACATTTAGGGTGAGACGCAACTTGCCTATCTTTAGTCATGAAAAATTAAGGCAGCTACTTTAAACTAGCTGTCTAGGCTACCACTAGTCAATGGGAACATCACTAGAGAGCAGCTTACCTTCCCTATTTTAGACACACATTGGGATAAGATTAAAAAAAATCCTGGAGTATTTTTCTATTTTTCTATCAATGATAAAAGGAGCTCGTAGGACTACCTTGGACTGGACGGCTAACTTTTAGAGAGGACAAAACCTGCTCTTTGCGAATAGATTCACAAGCTAAGCTCTTTCTTGCCTACTCCACAGAAAGCATGAAAGAGGGAATTTTAATTCTTTTAGAAATTTAGTTCTTGGGGAGTAAACCATGTGAAGGCCATGATTTTGATCTACTTAGACAGACATAATCTTTTTGGTTATTACCAAATTCTATGTTCTTGTCCAGTGTCAAATACTGAGGACTGAAGGATCTCTGCCTTCAATCCAGTATTGGCTTCAATGTGCAGGATCTGAACTAGGAATTGAAATCTATTAGATATTTTTACAATAGTTTATTCTTGCCAGTTTAGCTGTGAATTTCTTGATATCTGTGTCTTGCAAGCCTAACAAAGCATAAGTTCTCACGAAGAATCTAAGCCCTCCCTCTACAGGCACTACAAAATAGTAGCTGTATTCAGAACTAAACTAACAACCAGGCTTGAGGATTAATCCCTGTAGAAATTAGTGTAATTTGGCTCCGTTTCCCCCTAAAGCATGGGAAGGATTGAAAAACCACAATTGCTTCTACATAATGTCAATGGCTGTTAAATTTGCTTGAAACACAAGAAGTGAAGTAACCTTAGGAGACGCTTGGGTAACTGAGATTTAACAATGTTGCATCCACACTGTAGTGGCATGCTTGGCCTCTATGTTTTCTGGTTATAACCACTGTTGAAAGAACTGTCTACTGGTTAGTGACTGACGAAAGGGCAAAGTAAAAAAAAAAAATCAATGCTGTGACTTAGGGCTAAGCAAATGTTGCCTATCCCTCCTCAGCCTCAAAATACAATATAGAAAATACAGAAAATGATGTATTTATATACACACAGTAATAAAAACCCAATAGACTCACAAAAATAAACAAGCTCAAACCCAGTCCACACATTAAAAATACACAGTATTTTAAAAGTGAAGGATATGGCTGTGAATGAGAGTCATGAACATTTCCACAATGTATGATCTGATCATGATTTACAAACTAAGGCTTCATGCACAGGGCACTGCCTAGGGATTAATGACCAGCTGGGAGAGTTGATAGTGTAGGACAAAGCTAAGGATCATTAACTCCAGCTAGTTATAAACTCCCCAGAAAATGCCTTATACTAAAATTGATATTGTAATTACCCATTTTCTAAATAAAATAAACAGTAACATTGAAGTAGCAAATCGCTTTTGCTACATCCCTTTTTCTTGCAAAGCTCTGAAAACTGGAGCATTCTGGGTGATGTGAACCTGGTGCTTTTTGAAAGTGAATTCTGCATGAAGGCCAGTGAAATGACACTTTTTAGCATAGGTCCTAAAAACATATAGTCTATTAGTATGTTGGGCAGCAGGGCAACAAGCAATCATGCAAAGAAATTCTGAATGCAAAATTCAATGCCGATAACCTTGCACAGGGAGACATGATCTCTGCACTGAACAATTAATGATCCACGGGAACTTGGGGTGGAATATCAAAACTTTTTAAGTAAAAAAACCCCTAAACCAAACCCACCAACAAACCCCCCCCAATTGGCACAGAAACAAGGGAAGTCTATTTGCCTTGATTTGAATTTGCAGGTCAAGTATGGCACAAAGACCAGTAATACAAAGTTGGTATCAGTCCTTTCAAACAACTCCTGTCCTTGAGCATGAACCTGCAGCACAAAGACCAGTAATACAAAGTTGGTATCAGTCCTTTCAGTCCTTTCAAACAACTCCTGTCCTTGAGCATGAACCTGCTTTACATGGGAGAAGTGTAGTTGCTATGCTGGGCTAGGTCAAGAGCTCATCTAGCCCACAGCAGTTCAGCAACAGTCTATGGGAAAAGCTGTCAATAAGTTAGCATTAACCAACAGTTACAAGTATTTTCTCTTTGTCTGACTACCATCTGGGAAAGGTTCCCCAGCATTCAGTCCCTGTGTTATCCACTTCCTCCCAGGCAGAGTTTGTTCTTTTAGACAGTGATGAACACAACGTAGGAACACCGACTGGGAAATTGAGTGAAGAGACTGGATTTCAAAACACATGTAACAGTCTCTTGAAGTGTCAAGAAATTACTCTTAGAGGAAGTCTGGAAAAAATTAAGATGGCAGGAATGACGGCCTAGAACATCTCATTCACACATAACGCAAAGATTTGCTTACCTGTTCGTTAGGCTCAAAGCTTATCTCTTCTTTTTCCGTCCTCATAGCTATTAACTTTGTGCTACCGGAAGGGTCTGTCTTACTGTCCAACCGCTCCAGTTTTGGGGGTATGTCTGGTAAACCAATATCTTTAGTATCATCTTTATCTAGCAAGTAGCGAAGTAGTGCATTATTATTCTTCTTAGGACTCGCTGGCTCCTGTTTAACAGTCACCTCCGAACCAGGAGCTGTGCTACTGGACTCCTGGTTCAGTTCTTTGCCTGTGGCCTCTGCTGTGAGCTTGGCCAAATCTACAGGAGAACTACTGTCCTGCAATAGTCTGTGCAAAATTTTATGCTTCTCCTTGAGCGAGGTTCCGTGTGCCGAACCAGACCCAGGCAACCCTCCCGTGGAGTCCTTGCTAACGTCTCCCATGGTACTGGACAAAGGCGAAGGCTCCATCTGATCTGATTTGGTGGTCAGCAATTGTAAGAGCTTTGTCTGGCTTTTTCCGTCGTGCAGTTTATTCTGTCCATCAGGTCTCTCGCCACTGACAACCGGTGGCATGTTGCTATCGCTGTTATCTTTCTGTTCTCCTGAATGGCAGCTGCTCTCTGCTTGTCCAGTTGTACCTTCTGATTGCTCCCCGTATAGTCCAAAGCAGTCTTTAGAGTCCAGGCTTCCCATCTTGCTTAGCTGGGGAGGATTCATATTCACAGGGGAATTTTGTAAATTTCCCATTTTTAGGTCAGGTGAAGCCAACGACGATCCTAGAGAAACGCCGTGGCCCTCGCTGAGGGCCTGAAGTGCGTTCAGGGAACTGTTGGTGTAGTTATGGCTATTTCCTGTGCTGCTGCAGACTCCCACGGGTGAATGCAAGCTTCCTGCAGGGGAGAACTGACTGGGTGGGATGCGAGGACTTCCTGCCACTCCAGGGCTCACACGATGCCTTGGGGAAAGCATAGAGTTTGGCTGCCCCGGGTTCATGCCGGGGCTGCTTTGTGAGGGGCTATTCATTTTTAGTGCATAGTTACTACCCTGAGGAGTGGATGCTTGTATGCTTGACACATGGTTCATTCCCCCTGAACCACCAAACCTGCCTGCTGGCATGCCCATTTGTTCCTTTGGGCCATTTATGGCAAAATTTATATTGCTACTGATGGTCATATCCTGACCTGGGTTCCCACTGCACATGGCCTGATGGGCAGGGCTGCTGGAGCTAATCGGGTTCAGTATCTTCCCCATTCCTTGTCCAGTCAAATCCTGATTCATTCCACAGACGTTCTGCTCTCTATGTGGCAAGGGGAAGAAAAACAACCCATTAGCTAAAATGACAGTGGCCAACTTGCAATTACATTACAGAAAAAGAAGCAAAACCCCAAACCTCGCTTTAAAATAACACAACAAACCTACAATTAAAAACAAATTGACAATTTGACAAAAGTGATATGCAACTCCCAACATGGCTGCACATTAACAGTATGGTTTTTCAGTACCTCATTAACAAATCAGTGGAAGGGAGGAAAAACAAAATTATACTTCATTTAAATGACAGTCATTAGAAATGCAGATAGGTTATCATTTCAGACTCTTTACTTCCCTACAATTCCGCAACAGCTAACTTCTAGAACCAAGAGAAATCTTATCTGAAACATATGACCCAAACAAATACATGTTTCACAAGACAGCTGTGGACAGCTGTTTGTTGGAGTTTTGAATTTCTATGAGTTAGCCCCACCACAAGCCTGGAGTGGGCTATTTGCCCACCAAGTTCATAGTGAAAGTTAAGTTGAAAAAGTTGCATTTCTACACTGCCAGAGTACTTCAATACCGCTCCAAAAAAGCATGTGAGCCAAGAGAACTACTGGATACTGCTTCAGAATAGGAACAGTCTGTTAGCAATTCAGTCCTGCATAGGCATTTAGGAAAAGAGGAGAAGGCAGGAAAAACCCCACACACATAGGAGCTGAAACCCGTATTTTAGAGATGTAGGCTATAAGACAGAGGAAACAGAAGAGACACACGCACAGAGAAAAAGCTCTTGTGAGAGCACCTGGAGATCACTTCTCTTTTCCTCAGTAGATTTTAATTAGTTTATGGGAGAATGCAATATACTTTTTACTTCTGGGCTGAAACTTAAATCAGAAAAATCAGACATATTCCCAAATGCTAAAAGCTATAAAAGAGACAGAGTCAAGTAGATTAGAAAGAAAAAAATTAGGTTCTGAGAAAAATCAAATCAACTCTGGACTTTCAAAAACAAATATTAATGGAACATTCCTAGTATGTCTTTTCGATGAGATGAAAACCATTCCCGCTTGCACAGGGTAAGTGCAGATAAACCTTCACATTTTGCTAAAGCATGAGAAGTGAAAGAACTGAAGCACACAGAATAATGAAGCTTGTTACTCTGTATTTGTTACCTTAGGTGTAAAGGCAAAGGTGAATGACATTAACTATAAAAAGAGAGGTGGATTTTTAAAACCTTATTACAAATACAATAGTACCAGTGCTCTACTAAAAAAAAAAAAGCAAGAATATTTGCAAGTACCGTTTTTAACTTAATGTGCTTTTTTAAATTTAAAATTTAGCACTTTGTGAAATACCAAGTAATCCAAAGAAAACAAATTTCAGACAGCTTTTGGTCAGGTCAGTTTCCAAATCTACAATCTCTGTAAAATGGTTTCAGTTTTAATTATGTTTAGAGGTGTTTTCCTACTCTCAAAAAAGTGAGACTGTGGATACAGGGCAACAGCATTGTAGTTATAATAAAACCTGAAACAAAATCTGAGACAAGTATACCAGGACATGCAATGACTTAATTCAAATTTTACGCTGCATTTCTGAGGTCAGCGATTACTTATCCTTGCCTTCAACATATTACTGCCTGTGCCTTTTTTCTTAAAAACTAATAGTGGTGGCATTTCTCAGGATTGGGCATACCAAAGACACTACTCCAAGCACCAGAAAAGACAAGGAATGAAGAGAGACAGGGAATTAAAATATGCAGTTTGTCTAAAATGCAGTCCTAATAATCATAACACATTCCTTAAAGAAGACCCAGGCCCAGCATATGACTGACTGTGAACTACAGGAATTTAATCTTCAAAGTTTTCTACATTTAATTACATTTGGTAACTTTTTTGTGTCTACTGTGCAAAATACAGGAAATTAAAATACTAAAATTAAGAACATGAGATATAAGGAAATTTTTTATGTTTAATGGAAGATCTTGATGTGAAAATCCACCATGCCATTTCTAAGTCCTGAAATAATCTTACAGTCTTTTCCTGCTGTAAGCACTGAATTCAAAAACTTACTTTGTTTTCATGCTATCAGTGCTGGGTCAACTGAACGTCTATCAGCCTTAAACAATCTATTTGCTTTGGCAACTTTTTACTTTCCCTGTCTCTCTGCAGAGTGTGGGTGTAATAAACCAGTGAGGATTACCTGTGAAGCATATGCAAGGAGATTACAAGCTGAGGTTCACTAGTCGTTTGAGAACGGATGAGCTTGCTCTTCGTTTGGGCAGAAACGATAGTGCCATCAGACAAGGAAAACCGATAAACAGGACTAAACGCTAGTCCCTGCCTCAGCACTGCAAGCAAGCAAAATAACAGAATTAGATTAATGAGAAACTATAGTACAGGTAGCTTAGTTCCTCAATATCTGATGTTCTAAATCCATCAGGACTGATACCACAGGTACTGTATTAATTTAAACAACAAACAAACAAACAGAAAACAAAGAAAAATTCTGAAAATACATAGATGGGATGCATATAAAATAAAGGATCCCACATACTGTAGGGTGATCAAAAGAAAACCTGTAACGAGTGACAGCAATAACAGGACAGATACTATGCAATACAATATTTCAGGAGTGGACGAAGAAGTCCTCGATGTCCATTTCACTTTTCATCAAATACGTGTCTAACTCCTTTTTTTCCTCATATATTTTTTCATCTGTATCATCTACACCACGATGATTAATATAAATGCCTTTAGTTTCTAGATCATCTCTTTCCATTAGCCTGTATCTTTTCCTCCTTATTGCCTGCTTAAATTATCTTGTAACAGTTATTCTCACTGCTTACTTGATTTAAAAAGTACATAAATCTCTTACATGAGAACAATTAGAAGAACTGGAACAAGAAATTATTACTTTTTAAAGAACAAATACAAAAATATACAGCTCAAACAAATTACAAATACAATTACCTAAACCAACACTGGGGCTATGCTAGTCTTCCCCAGTGTTAGATATGGCTGCACTTCAGGTTTGGGGTTTACTTCAGTGCACATATTCTGTAGCCCTTAAGTTTTCAGTGTAAATCTGAACTTCAACAAATTCAGTTCTCTAACTTCTGTAGACCCCTGTGACATTTCTTTAATTAAAAATGAAAATCATGTTATGGAAAAACAAATCTCCAAACATTTATTCTACTGTTCACTCTTTGCCATCAATGAAACAAGTCCGATCATTTTCAATTCCTAGTCCAAAAGCTATTACACTAGGATTGCAGATATGGCAGGAGGAAAAGGCTTAACTTCAGAATTTTCATGTAATTGTTTAGGGAAAAAAGAGGAATGAAGCACTACAAATACACTTAATTTCCCATTTTTTCATACATACACATTTTCCGTGGTTTTGGTTCTGTTTCTTTTTTTTTTTAATTAATAGTATAATCTGATCTTCATTTCACTGCTTGCCTTTTAATATTTCCTGTTGTAATGAAATGACACGGTTTTCCAAGTGTGGCTTTATTAAATAGTCTCCTCTACAGAGCTACCAGATTTTCAGCCTTGCAGGACTGGTTATGATTACTTTCTTTCCCTGTCCCCTGCACTGTTATATATTGTTCTGCAAGGCTTTAAAGTATTATTTAGGCAGTGAGAAAACAGGAAGCACAATTTAAACAACCAGAAGGGTTTTTTCAGAGTAAAAATGTAAAGAAAAACAAAAACCTACAACTGTGAAACAATACAAAGCAAAATTTCACTGTTAGGTATGTCATTGTTTCAGTTTAACCTTTGGGCACCAGAAGGTCCAAAGCTCTTAACTTTAGCATATACCACATCAGGAAATTCCAGTACTCAATGCCAACAGGATACAAGTGAAATCTCTACTTAAATCATTTTCCAAACTAATTCTTTAAGCAAACAAGAATGTTTCCGTATTCCTCTTGAGGAAATGCTATTTTTCTGACTGTGGCCAATAAAAGCTTACCATATATTTTGCACTTTACACTGAGAGCTAATTTAAAAGCTTTGTGTTCTTTATTGTTTACCAAGCTAATGCTGAATTTTTTTTTTGCACCGTAACACTGAATTACATGTAGGAGACTGCTGCTTCCTTTGCTTCTATTCTCAAACCATAATGACTTAAAAAATGCAAGGCGTTCTTCAGTCAAGTGCAAAGATACTACTGCCCAAGATATGCCTTGTTTTTCTTCTCCATGCTGCAGGGCAGGGGAAGGAAACGTTTCAGCCGTTATTCCTCTCTAGTGCTGGATCCTTTGCAGCAAAGCAATTCCAGAGGTTTTTCCCCCTCCTCTTATCACTCACTCTCTTCACTTCCACAAGAAGTAAAGAGCCCCTCTCATTTAGACTAATTCTACAGTTTATATGATGATCCTAAGCCTCTCCTGCAGAATGATACAGTGTATACTCCAAAACACGTATATTTTTATCACTTCACAGATAGCTTAGAGAGGACCCACTCAAACCTCAGCACTGGATATAGGAGTTGCTAATTTGGTCAGGAATTATTTGAAGAGGACTGAAGTAACAAGTGGCTGGATGCCATAACAGAAGCTCCTAAACCACCTTTGGCACAGACAGGTCCTTTACCTGACAGTGTTCCCTAAACCCTTGCTGTAACTTTAATTGCATACCACCTTCTTCAGGTCCTTCTGAAATCACAGCATAAGGCTGTGAACTTTTAGCACTCCTACTGTATATACCCCAAAAGCCGTTATCTAAAATATCACAGTATTTCTGTGCACCCACATTCCCAGAACATATTAAAGAATATTTAACTAATGCCACACGACTTTTCTTTTTTTGTGTGTATTTGGTGGAAAAATTTGAGATTCTAGTTACAATTTAGTTTCCAAGACAGCATGCCAGTTGTTTAATGACCATGGCAACTATTTGTTACAGGCCAGCTCTAAATCCTGTTCTACAAACATGAACCCAAAGAATGATGCTCCTGCACTGGAAATGTTCCAGTTATTCTCCATTGGTTTTGAAAGGACCTTCCTGTGAACTGTAAAGGTTGGGGTTTTTTTAGTAATTTGGATCTGTGTCACTAGAATTAGCAGCATCTTTATGTAAAGAAAAATCCCCACCCAGTCACTACCATGGAAGCCTCATGGCGAACCTTTCACAGTGCAGTACTCTCCTACATCTTACGTACCATAATCCTGACTGAGTAGATGCGCTTGTGGTGCATCCTATAACACTTATCAGCTAGATACAGTACAACAATGTAGGTTTCCAGACAGCACAAGTGCTGCATCTTTGATAATTCACACTTAGTGTTTCTCACAGGAAACGTGAAAGTAAAAGTCCATTTTTGTAAGGAAAAGGAATACAGGCCAATGAACTGCAACGTGTGAGCTGAGGTTCTGAAGAATAATGGGTAGTGAGTGTTTTGGTGGGCAACACGCAAGGGTCTTTCCTTCTAAAATAACTGTGACAATTTGAAGATTTAAAGCACCCTCCAATATGGCACAGTTATAACAAGCAGGCTAAAAGAAACAGGGAGAAAGGTACAAAACCTCTCTAGAGAGAGCCATCAGCATGTTAGGCAAACCAGCTTGAAAAAGGCTACTGTCAGTAGCCTTTGATTGTTCCATGTAAACATAACAAAGAGAAAACAACCAAGAGATACAAATGACAAACAGTTTAAATATAGAAAGTGCTAAAAATATGAAACCTAACCTTCCTGGTGATGCCTCTTGGCAAAAGATATTTCTCCCTCGTGCTGCGAATGGAACCTCTGAATGCATCTTCTCACCAAATCCTCCCAGCCAGGTTTCATAGCTGCTCGCATGGTACTTGTGTCCAGTGAAGTTATTTTACCTGATATTAGATAAAACATTTGTTACAGCAATTTCCCCTTTGAGGAAAGAAAAAAAAAAAAAAAAAAAAAAAAAAAAAAAAATCCTATTTCACAATACCTTGTAGATCCTGGCGAGTAGTAAAGCTCTCTGATGAAGGAAGAAGTGGTCTTTCCTTCATTGGAGCTCTTCTTGCAACACAAATCAAGCAAGACTGCAAATCTTAAAGAAAAATGTTACTTCAGTAATTTGTACAGAAGAGGAAGATTTTGCTTCCACAAACAATTCAGAAGTATTTTTAAAAAGTTCTTTAAATCTTTTTGGACGAAAAGAATAGATTTTGTACTAATAAAAGGCTAGACATAACTCAGCGGTTTTACATCTTCATTATTTTCGTACAACATTAAACAACACAGGAGAGGTAGGTTTGTTTTCTTTTCTGGAATAAAAATTATCAAGGACTCTACCACAGTCCATAATTATTGGCATGTGTTTATGCATATACCTGTAGCAGCTGAACCACTCAGGAGGTAAGTAATAAAAAAGGATATTCTGCACGCACGGAGAGCACATTTCTTCAACACTCACCATTTTGTACCTTCTAAGCCACATTTCTTAAACATGCCCCAAATGCTTGCTGTCCCTGAGAAAGCAGCTTCATAATAAGCCATTTTTACTTATCTGAATACTTAAAATTTACCTGCTGAAGTAGTAAATGGGAAAGGAAATGGTGAACCACAATTGCCTTCAAATTCTAAGAACTCAAAAAATCGAAACTTTCTTCCCAGTCAGCTACATTCTTCTTAAATTGCAGTGATATAAAACTAGGATATCTCTTTAATGTAAACAGAGTTAATCTCAATTTCAATTATATTGGTTTAACAAATAGGTGCATGCGAGTGTATACACTCACAATCCAAGACACAAGTACACTTTTACAGTTAAATGAAAAAGGAAAAAACTTACAATTTTTCAGGATTCAGAAAGAAGTCACTTAATCAACTTTACCTCACTTTACCAGCTGCACCGAAACTGCTGTCCCACAACAGCATGGAAAGAGAAAATACTAACACGAAGTGAAAGCAGTAATTACCTTCACCGTCCTCCTTGAAGGAATTTGGTTGAGAAACAGCAAAGCACTGCATAGTTTCATACTTCTGATGTGCTTCCTGGTTATCATGGCCTTCTTCAGAATCAGCAAGAGGTTTCACTAGCATCCGACAATTAAAGGTATGGCTATTACGCCTAGGAGTGTCACCAGACCAAGATCCCCCGTTCACTGAGCAAAGAAAAGATCATATAGTGAGATAAATCTGGTAGCAGTCCTTTCTGCTGCTTATCCACAGGAAATTAATCAAGGTGCTTTGCAAACTGGTCGGGAAACAAGCTTGTTGAACAACAACAATCTATTTTTAATATTAGAGCCCAAACCAGCACATAACAAGGTAATTTATAAAATTCTCATATTTTAAGAGCACTGCTAATTTGTTCAGCTATCATGTTTTTTTCAAGTGACTCATAACAACGTAGTAGAAAAGCAGGACAAAAGTCTAAATATTGGTGCATGTGAAAGTTATACAGCACAGTGAAAAGCCTACTGGGTAGATCAAGTTAATTTATATGCCTGGAAGAAATAAGGCAGTACATAGGATCTGTCCATTGAATTTATAAGTGATTAATACAAAAGAGACAGCAGCATTGTATAAAAATCTGTGTCCAGATTAGAAATAGGAAGAAAAGAAACCAATAGGTATTTATAAAAACAGGAAGCAACAATACAATCAGGAATATATTGAAACACATAGTCTCAGCTACAACGGGAAAGACTGAAGGGATGAGAATGACCTGGATGCAGTGATGGATAAAACTAAAGCCTAACACAGTGCTTAAGACAAGTAAAAAAGGAAACAAAATCCTGAGATGCACAAATATAGGTACTGGACATCAGTCAGAGCAAATTAATGTAACACCGCATAAGGAAATAGCAGGGTCATATTTAAAATACTCTTCACTTGCCCTCTTCAGTCATAAAATGCAATAAAGGCAGTAATTTATAGGGTTTAGCCATTAAAAGTGTTACACTTTTGATTCTTCAGGGGTTTATAAATAAAGTCATAAAATGCTAAAGTGAATTGCATAATAGTTTTTAAACTGCTGTGAGTAAATGAGGTGCCTAGTATTGACTTTCTTTTCACCTCCTCCAAAAAACAGTGACATTAAAACCAATATTAATATAAATGCAAAAAATGGCTGCAACTAACAAAAACAGTTTTTGAAAGATAAGGGCAAATATTGGTGAGACTAAAAACGTTGAAATAAAAATTCTAGCATAAGGAGCTTTCTGGTTTTTCTTTATGGCCCCTTTCTTGGGCCACTCTTAGAATAACCAGCCTAGACAGGGAACTAACAGACAGTTCATATAGCTAATGCTGTCTTTTAGTGACTTACTCTGGAGATCCATTAAAAATATCAGTTAACAAGAGTTACTAAGAGTAATTTTAACAAAGGAGAATCTGAAGAGAATAGAGGATGCTTTTGAGAATAATATTAATCATTCATACAGCCTATATATACATTAAAAATAAATAGAGTGTATATGATGAAACTGTAAGTAGTTGAAGGACATTAACTTAAGTTATTGAAACACTGATTTATGAAACCAAAGTTAAATAAGTAATGGTATGATATGAGGAAAAGGTATATACCTAAAGATTTTGGCAGCAGGATTTTGACAAATTCATTGTGGTCCCCTACATGCAGGATGCTATATATGCTTGTGTTCATCAGCTCTTCTTGGTTGTACCTCAAGTACTGTGTCACATTCTCAGAAACAAACACAACATTACCTTCTGGGTTCACTACAAAGAAGAACCCATCTAGGGCCTAAAGGGGGAAAAAAAAGCAGAGAGAGAAAGAGAGAGAGAAAGAGAGAGAAACACAATACCAAAAAATCAGATTAACAACAAGATATCCTGAAAAAAAGTATTTCCTTCAGAAGACATAGCTCAATCTTTCTGCATCCATCCCAGTTCTTATATTCTTGTCTGTAATAGCAAAGGACACATTTCAGATAGAGCATCTAATCTTACGCCAAACCAGTATAAAAGCACAGAAAGGTGCACCCCTTGCAAAATAATGAAACCCACACATGAAAGCAAACCACCACCATCCCACCCCCGACAAACAAACAAACAAACAAACAAACATACATAATTAAAGAGGTTGCTACCTATCTGCCTGCCTATGAAGTTGGAAACCTGGACCAGAACCTGGCTCTGCTAAATCCAGAGCCTGTTCACTCCTCTATGCAGCACAGGGAGACTGATCCCAGGAAAACATCGTACGATGTGCTGACATAAGGCAAGGAAAACACTGGCAGAAAGAGAAAGGCTCTGTCCACATCCCCAGCAAGGCATCTTCATAGAAGTGAGGCCCCATGCAGCCAGGAACGTGAGGGGTTAAAAGCAGAGAAGGGCAAAGGGAGCTGAGAGCAGGCAGTGAGCATCCACGATGGTGCAGCTTTAGTCCCTACTCCCAAGACTGCTTTCATTTTTTTTATTTGACACCAGTTTAATTCGGTCCACACATGATCCAGGGAACAGGAACCAGACTTTCACCTCTTCAACTCAGCTCCATGGTTTTCCAAAGGACTTAAAGTTTCTGCGAGCAAGTGTCTAAACTAGTAATTTCTGCTGATTGGTTTCCCCCCTTATCTCTCCTGATGGTGACAACCTAGCTGAAGCATTCTTTCCAAGATAGCTGCCGTACGTTATCTGAAGCCTAAGCCAAACACTACATCACTTCTACCTGATGAGGATAATGTAAAAATTTGAATATTAACAAGAACTTCTCCTGCAAACTTTCTTTTCCTCGAGATGCAAGCATGATTGTGGATGGTAGAAATATTTCAGAATGCATCCCTCTAACTTTATGTCATATGAGCAGGTAAAGAGCGATACTTTGAAACTTAAAGCACCAAAGCTTTTGGTCTAAGTATTCAATTAACAATTAACCCATACAGACTTCTGCAGCTTTGCCTGATTCATTCACCTCTCTAAGGACTGGTGGGTAATCACTAGAAGAGTTGTTGGACTGGTGGGTAATCACTAGAAGAGTTGTTCGTTATTGCATCTTCAGGGACAGAAACAAGTCAGAAAAACAGGCAACCCATGATTCATTATGGGTTAATTAAAAGCAAGTAGATCCATGCTAAACCTGAACTCAACTCACTGCAAAACAGTCTAACAAGGAGGAGCTGCCATAGCAAGTGTATACAGGCATGGGGCATTTTTAATATGACCAAACTTGTATACTGTACAACCTGCATGTTGGTCTTAGCAGGCCGTTCTCAAGTACACAGGCTACAGATCCATATTAAAAATATTGTACACTACTGAGCAGTTAGCAAATCCAGAGAGTACAAAAGAGAAGGCTAAGGAAGGATCTTATTTGTGTCTTCAGCCACCTAGCAGAAGGCTAAAGAGAAGACAGCCAGGCTCTACTCAGAGGTTCGCAAGGGAAGGATGAGATGCAACAGCCACAGGTTGCAACAAAGAAAACTTCATGGAGATACAAGAAAAAAAAAAACCACCATGAAGGTGGCCAGATATGGGAAGAGGCTCCTCAAAGAGGCTTTGAAATCTCCTTCCCCAGAGATACTCAAACCTTGGCTGGACTTGGACCTAAGCCGCCTGCTTCAGTCAGACCTGCTTGCAGTGGGAGGCAGGACTACACAAGCTCCAGAAGTCCTTCCCAAACGTACTTAGTTAATGATTCTGCTGAAGGGGAGGGACAGTGAAAGCACAATGCACAAGCAGAGTGGCTGAGCTAATGGTTGCCAAATGCTTTGTTTGTTCTGTTTTTAAATTACAAAATAATAAAACTCACAAATACAGGTACAAGCATATACTTTTCTTGACTGCCTCTAAAGACAAACTAGGTCTTTTTTTCTCCTGTTAATCGTCAGAAATTACAATCTCTGACTTTGTTTTTTATCATTGCTGCCTTTTTGTTTCTGATCATTCTTGGTTCCTCCTGTTAATGCACTTCCTTTGCAGAGCACCCTCCTTTCCATGTGCTTTCGTAACATTCATGACATTTTCCTGCTGACTAGTATTTAGTTTAACTAACAATGATTTACAAGATTTAATTAATCGAGGCTCTAATACAATTTTCTATCAGCATCTCTGCTATGGATTAGTGTCTTGGACTGCATTTCATCACTGCTTGAAGCCAATGTAAGCATGACCGAGTTGGTTTAGTCCTCTCTACACTATGACAGCTCCCTGTACTGTCAGGATATGAAGAGCTGGACCAGAGAACCGAGCTGGCTGAATCCTAATGCAAGAAAAAAAAGTAGATGCTAGCCACATCAGTCCCCTGAACTGACCCACCATGAAACCACATGGCGTTTAGAGCTGGCAGAAGGGTGTGGGTTTGGCTGGACCATTCTGCTTGGCAGCGGTCCACGCTTACAGCAATTCAAAGGGATTGCAAAACCAAAGCCATAGCAGATGTTTATCAGAGTCCTAAGAAGAAAACTTTCAAAGGCAGAGATGGCAAGCAAGAGATTATGAGAGTTACTGGCATCCCATAATAATCTTGTTTTCCCTACTATTTTCCTACTACAGCAACTTCTTTGGCAAGGAAGTGCTCTGTGCTGTTTCCTCACAGCTGCTTCTTGGGTTGACCACAGAAGTGGTCATCTGAGCCTAGAGTAACACAGGGCCTTATATGCCAGTCTCCCATTTCTTTCTATCCTATTCAGAAAATAATCTTGTAGGTAAGCAGCAGCAGGCTTTTGAGCAAGTTAAAGCACCAAGCCACTTAAATCTTTTAGAAGCTTCCACTTTTGCAATAATTTCTTAATTCTGTCCCCAGATGCATGCGACCACAATAAACAACTTTTCTTCAGAACTATTGGTACAATGGGGGAACAAATAATGGACAACATGCTGGAAGAGAAAACAAGAGAACAGATATTATTTTAGATTCTATACTGGAATGGTAAACACATTTGTGTTCTTTGAGCTGTTGTCAGCTCTCTCGACTATTTTTTACCCTCTCTATCTACTTTCTTGCTTTAACCAAGAAATATGTTAAAATATTCCTCAGAGGCAGCTGTATGATTAATTTTACTCACTCTCTTCAGCTGGAAACACTAACTATTTTGAGGATTCTTCTGTTTTATTCTTTAATAAAAACAGACAATTACATTTCTAAACCAAATCAACTAATAAACTGTTCATCAGCATTGCCATTTTTATTATTATTCGGCAATGGAAAAGGGTAGGTTTTTGAAGACATTGTATAAAGACATTCTGTAAAGATGAAATAACTTCATTGCATTTCCTTAAGCAGATAAAGACACAAAGAAAGTATCTGTAGTCTTTTCACAGTAAATGTATACAACTTTCAGTCCTTTCAAGTTTCTTGGTCCAAAAGGACCATGGTTTATTAATTTAGTTCCACAATCTTTCATTGTTAATATGCAATGGTTTTACTGTGAAGGAAAACTAAATTAAATGGAATAACGGAACAGACGGGTGATTTAACATGTCATGTTTGTTGCAATAGCCAATCATGCAAGATAAGCCGGGGGAAAAAAAAAAATCTTATCCTTATTTTCCCTGGGATTAGAACAGGTCCTTACAATTAAATTAATAGGAAGTTAAAGATAAATTTTAGCATAGCAATGGAAGAGATGGATGTTTAACCTTGTTTGATATCAAAACCAACAACATTCAATTCAGTGAGCATGTATAATAAATATTAAATTAAATCAATTAATTTATTACCCCTGCTTTTCAAAGAAAAAAGTTTTCACTCCAACCTGTCTAATCTTTGTTACATTTAGTACTGTGATTTTGGAGCCTTTATTTCGTACATAGTACAGAACACTATGTTGTCATCTAACAAATCATGAAAAATAATGCAAATACTTAGAACTGTTATAACATGCATCTTGCTCCTGCAACATTCAGGAGTGACAGAATAATTACGCTTCTACCAAAGCTGGTTCCTTTAGCTTGATTCAGAGTTTGTTTTGTTTTATCTAAAGTAACATTTATTTGTCTGTACACATAAAGCCCACGGTCAGAACAGGAATAAACAGTTTGCAAGTGAGCTTAAGCAGATGAAGCAGTACTGCCAAAGGACACTAGCATATGACATTAGGATCCCAGTTAACATACCTAGCCAACATTACTATTAATACATTTAGAAGCTAGGTTTTAACCATGCAGCCTTTTGGGATATCAAATAAGAGCTAAAAACAGAAATCTTAACTGAACAAACTGAAATACACGGCTTGAAAAGCTCTCCTGGATTACTTTCATATTTTAGAGGGAAGAGTCATGCTGTAAGTGCTGAAATGATAAACCATTAAACCGGTATAGCAAAGACACGCAATTTTAGAGGAAGTATTATTCATGTGTATACTACTATATATGTAGGAAAACATTTAGGTACAACAGGTCTTCCAAATCTTTCACAGTTTAGAAGAAATAAAACATGCACATGCAGACACCCAAGAATTGCTAGCAGCTGAAGCCCCTCAAGTTGTCTGCGTTACAAAGCAACCAAATTCTCTCTTTCTCTGCCTCTCCCCACCCCAAGCTAAAGAGAGTTTCATCACTGAATCCAACAGAGATATGCTGCCTGCTCGTAAATGACATAATCCTAAGTAGCCAGGATGGTTTGCCTCTCTTGACCATTCTTTTACAGCGGCGTCCGACTGCACTTTTTCATTTCATTATGCTGCTCTTCATCCTAGGGGGAGCAAAACTGGCTTAAATAAAGGAATTTTGTGCTCTTCACCTCAAGCATCATTGGTCCAAGTGCATCCTTGTCAATGACACTCTGACCCGTAGATGATACATCTGCTTTTTGCACTTCATCTTCATTAGCTGCTGCTGCTTTTTCTGCAATAAAGAAAATTATGTATTAAATGAGAGAGCCGTGTTCTTTAAGTGGGAGCCCAGAGTATTGAAACCAGCTATGAAACGGTTACAGTGCAACAATACTGAAAATGAGATTAGTCTCCCATAATGATTAAACAAAAGCATAACTAGTATATTTGCTTCTTAGTTTTGAAGTTTTGTGACACAAATGAAATAATTCCTGCTTTTTCTCTGCTAGACATTTTTCTAAACTACAAACCATAACATTAGTCAAAGGCAAGGACTCCTCACGAAGGTGCAATGAGCAAAAGCCAGGATCAAGGTATTTTAAAAGACTGATCTAAAAGAGCATGCAAAGCTCACAGCTGCACAACTTTTCCACGATCGCTATATTTAGAAGGAAAAACATAAGTCCACAATCTACTGTTTCAGTACTGAGAAACAGCAGTCTCATTTCTGTTCCCATGCCTCCACCCACATTTTTGCTATCACATAATTTTCATACTGCCTTATTTACCAATATGTTATTAAAACTACGTACAATTTCAAGTGCTGTATTTGAAAATTACAGGCAAGAAAATAATCATTTAAGGCTTCTGGAGCATAATGACACATATTACGGTATGTCATGTAAAGAATCACAGACCATACCCAACTCCAAATGTAAGGGATATTCATACATGTTGGAACTTTCAAATCAAGACGGTTTATAATTCCTATCAAGTAATGGTCTGTACTAATTTTTCTATTCCAAGAATTACATTGGTGTGTCCTGGTTTCAGCTGGGATAGAGTTCATTTTCTTCCCAGTAGCTGGCATAGTGCTGCGTTTTGGATTTAGGATGAGAATAATGCTGATAACACGCCGATGTTTTAGTTGTTGCTGAATAATGCTTATGCTAGTCAAGGACTTTTCAGCTTCCCATGCTCTGCCAGGTGCACAAGAAGCTGGGAGGGGACACAGCCAGGACAGCTGACCCAAACTGCCCAAAGGGCTATTCCATACCATATGATGTCATGCTCAGTATAGAAACTGGGGGGGTTGGCTGGGGGGCAGTGATCGCTGCTCGGGAACTGGCTGGGTATCGGTCAGTGGGTGGTGAGCGGTTGCATCACTTGTTTTTCCTGGGTTTTGTTCCTCTTTTTGTTGTCTTCTTTTTCACTCCAATTTTTATTATTATTTTATTTCAATTATGAAGCTGTTCTTATCTCAACCCACGAGTTTTCTTACTTTGGTCCTTCCGATTCTCTCCCCCATCCCACCAGGGGTTGAGGAGGGTGAGCAAGCAGCTGTGTGGTGCTTGGCTGCCAGCTGGGGTTAAACCACGGCATGGTGTTTAAGGGAGAAGCAATAAAAGTAACCAAAACGCTGTACAAAATACATATTCTATATCAGAAGTTAATGAAACAAGTATTTTTTTGTTGCTAGTTCTATACTCAAAACATTCTTTTATTATTTTCCAACCAATTTTGTAAAAGCTAGGGCTATACTGCAATCTGCAATATTAAAAATTATTAAAGATTTTTTATTTTTAATATTATGCAATAGATTATTTTAATAAATATGAAAGCACACAGAAATTATGATAACAAGAATTTATGCCTTCTACAACAATAAACCAGAAGAAGATTCATTGTAGGAATTACTGAAAGTACCATGTGTGGATGGAGTAAAGGGCCTTTGGAAAATCAGCCCTGGTGAAAATTAAAGCATCAGTCATACAAATTAAAATGTATCTAAATGTACAGTATTTTCCACTATCTGTAGATCTGCAATGCTGCAGCCAAATTTCCTCTGAACTCTTTCCTTGGCAGAGGTTATAAGGTCAGTGTGAATATATGCTACTTAGACATCCAGTAAAGGACCTGCTTCTGAGAACTCCTGGGTGTTCTCCTATCAGCGATCACCCGCTGGCAGTAAGGCTTTGGTCACTCGGGCTGTCTCATCCTAGATTTCTACCGTTTCTTGCTTTCATGAAAAGAGAGTCACGAAAATCTTAGCTGTCGTCTTAGGGTGTGTTCTTACACAATATAACACCATTGTGAATAATGATGGAAGAAAATTGTTCTGAAGATGGACTCTTGCAAGTAATGGAATAGTTTGAAATCACTTTGATTGGCATAATCTGATAGAAATAAATATGCTAGAAATAACTATTAACCCTTCCCCTGCCACTTAAACTCACCAGGATACGAAATTAGTATTTCTGGTTTGGACTGAGGACTGGAGGACTGCAGTGGGATTTTCTTTTTCTTTTTCTTTTTTTTTCATCTTCTTTTGGCAAAAAGCACAGATTAGGTGTGCTAAAAAACTGAACAATCCTTCCCATGCTACAATATAGCAGAGTTGGTACCATATGATGATACAATACTGAAAACATGCTCTAAAAATTATGAAAGAATTCGAAAAGATTCTAAAAATAGGGTTGAGCTTTTAATAAAGGCGGCAATGATAACTTGTTTCCCATCTGTTCCTGGTAGCATAAAGTGATCCCTGGTTTCACACTGCAAAATATTATAATGGATATGGATACCAGCTTCCCGCTTTCATCCCCTCACTGCTTCAGCCATTGATACCATCTTGAGTACTGGAGAACAAAGGATTATACTCCATGCGCTAGAAGTGGAGTGCAGATATGGTACAGCAATGATCATAGAATCATAGAATCGTTTAGGTTGGAAAAGGCCTTTAAGATCATCCAGTCCAACCATTAACCTACACTACCAAGTCTACTCTAAGCCAATCAAGGGTAGACTAGACTACCCTACTATTCACTACACAGTATTTGCTGGTTTCACCAATTTACAAAGACTACTTTTACTGATTATTTTTCACATAATACAAAACATTTGCTGAACATTTTTTTTCACTCTTACAACCAAGGAGTTCATACAAACCACCACCAACGTATCTATAAAAACAACTGTTCTCTTTTATGCACACAGGCGAGGTTTTATACAAAGAAAAAGGAGAAAGCTTTTAATTACTGTAATGGTAATCAACATAGAAGCTGCGATACCAGGTCAGCCCAACGATATCTCAAGCCTCACATCCAGTCTCTGAAAGCGGCTGCTTTCCCCTCTGTGTATGAAAATGCTATTTAGACCTAAACGTTGCCTACCTGCCTCTCCCAGTGATGATAACACACTACACTACTCATGATGTTCGGTTAGGCATTCCGAAAAGCATTATAAATCACAAGTGCTCCCAAATGATGGACTTTATAATTGGATCTGTAACTTAACTGTGTAAGAAGTTAAGTGGCCAGAGAGCTTAGAAGAGGCTACACATTCAGGCCGCAGGTCCCTATACATTTATTTAAGTGACACTGTATAGGAAACCATGGCCTCAGACAGCCTCTGAATAGGACCAGCAGTAACTTATGTCGATGTTATAAACTGCAGCTACTGATAATGTTAAGCTGCGCAGTAAATTACCCATTTTTGACTGAACTACAAAGCCCCTGGTGAAGACTCTATCAGCACATACAGGAAAAGTAAGTGCAAACCCTGTCAGCAGCGTCGTCCTGACAGACAGGCATGGGGAACGTCTTAAAAAGCAAATCTTTTCTTCAGCAATACAGCACGTGGGGCTAATTGAGAACAAAAATTTGTTGCAGGAAGGTTGGAAAAAACCAACAACTGATACATGAATTTCTAGTGCTGACAACACTCATGCATTTATCACGAGTTGGTATTTTTTGTTTTTCTTAACAGTTCCAGCTTCTGGCGTTAAGTAGTGGTGCAAAAATGTAAAGTTTACTTTTCCTTTTTTTACTTCTCCTATCTTTTTTAGGTTCACTGGGGGCCCTACAAACAAATCAAAAGCACAGCGAGTTTATTATTGCTACACTAGATTAATGGGGTTTGAATGTTAGGGGTTAGGAAAATAGCAGCAGAGGCCAAACCTTGCAAAGCCTCTCAGAAGCCTTTTTTCCAGCCCCATGGGAATTGCTGGTTATTACCCTGTGACTAACCACAGCCGCTAGATTTTTCCACTGTGGCCACTAACACGGAGAGTGGGAGCCGGTTCCCTGATCTCACACCTTCCCGTGATGCTGCCTCCCAGAACAGCGATGCCCCTGTTCAAATGTAAAACGCCAGGAAAGCGTTACCCGGCATCCTACGGCCACGGCAGCTAAAGCAGAGCAGAGGTTTAGCATGGAAAGAGAAATACAGCCTTGTGCTGCCGGAGGAAGTGAGCAGGGTGGAAAGGGGCTTCCCATGGCTTCACCTCCACACAGGGAATTCTCCACTGGAGAGGGAGTGTTAAATTAGAAACTGGTCCCATCCTTACGAATATGGCTACCAGGGATCAAGCATATTTTATCTAAATTACAGCGGAATAAACTTCACGCACATGAAATAATTATTTGCTCTGCTCAATTAAGAGTTTAGCCTAGAGAGAGAAAAAAAATTTAAATAAAATAGAAGTACTCCTGAGAGAGATACTACAAAGAATATATACATCCAATTATGTAGCATTTTAGTGACGTGTGTAATTTAGACTTTAAACTGTGGATATGTTTACAGTTGTATATGCAGCAATATACTAAAATAAATATTATTATTTTCAATTGGGCATCTTCCTAGTGATCATAAACTGTATTTACTTTTCTATGTTAACATACAGAAGAAAGAAGGAAAAAAAAGCCCTCACAAATATTTTTTGACAAGCCTCAAGCTTTATTTGAAGCTCATTCCAGATTCTGAAAGCAAACCTTTGTGCAATCACATTAGTTTAACAGAAATTCGTAAGTCGGAGAAAGAGAAGCCAAAAGCAATAGTTCAAAGTCTCCTGCTAGGTTTTAACTTAGGAAGCCTTCCTGGTTTTCCATCCTCCCAACTCAAGCTATGTCGGTTCTCTCTGGATTTCTGACAAGCAGACTCAGAAGTGCTACTGACGGGCATCACCTTCTCTTGGTTGTGTTTCAAACCCTCCCTTCCTACAGGTGGGCAGGCAGGACCAGCTGAACCACCCGAAAAGCTCACTTTGTCTGTACTCAAGCTCTACTCCAACTT